GTGGTTTGCTTTGAGAAAATAATGTCTGTTAAATTTGCATTAGAGGATAATTGTTTACTGAGCCAAATAATCGTTCTTGTGAGAACCTATTCTGGGTTTCCCCTGGGCCTTCTGCTGTGGTTGCGGGGGTAGTTGGTTTGTGTGGGTTTTCAGGACTGTTGACTACATCAGACACGCACAGCACATCAGACATGCACAGTTCCGGCCCTTGGACAGGCCTTCATCATGGTCGGATGCTGAACTGCATCGCGTCTGTTCACGTGAAGATTCTTTTGCCACCTCCTTAAATGAAAGAACCATACTGAATGTGGCTTAGAAACAGCTTTGCCAGCTGTGCAGAATGATTGTAAGTAGTGGTTACCCAAAAAGTAGAAAAGTAGTTGCTTGGAATACCACTCACTGATAATGCGGGTGAATCTGGAAGGAATTATGCTGAGTGAAAAAAGGCAGACCCGAAAGATCACATTCCATATGGTTTTCAGTTTTTTATAGAGCATTCTCTAAAGACAAAAATTAAAGAGATGGAACATAGATTCGTGGTTGCTAGGAGCTAAGGATGGGGAGGAAGACAGCCCAAGGGAGCCTGTGGTTGGACTGTTGCCTGCCTGGGCTGTGGTGAGCACATAAGCATGCACACTGCGCTTGTGTCACGGGACGACCCCAGGGAGCCTGGCGGACTGTCGTGGTGGGAGAGCCCAGCTGTGATGCTGTTCATAGTTTTGCAAGATGGAACCACTGGGAGCAGGTGGACAAGGTACTGCTCTGTGTCATTTCTTTCTTATTTCTTTCTTTCTTTCTTTCTTTCTTTTTTTTGAGACGGGGTCTCCCTGTCACCCAGGCTGGAGTGCAGTGGCTCGATCTCTGCTCACTGCAACCTCCACCTCCTGGGTTTAAGCAATTCTTCTGCCTCAGCCTCCTGAAGAGCTGGGATTACAGGTACGCACCACCACACTCAGCTAATTTTGTTTGCTTTTAGTAGAGATGGGGTTTCACCATGTTGGCCAGGCTGCTCTCGAACTCCTGACCTTGTGATCTGCCCGCCTTGGCCCTCCCAAAGTGCTGGGATTACAGGCGTGAGCCACCGTGCCCAGCCTGCTCTGTGCCATTTCTTACAACTTCATGTGAAACTACAGTTACTTCACGGTCAGAAATTTAACTAGAAAAAAAGTGGTTGCTAACATTTTTTTGTTTTCTTTTTTTGAGACGGAGTTTCGCTCTTGTTGCCCAGCCTGGAGTGCAATGGCGTGATCTTGGCTCACCACAACGTCTGCTTCCTGGGTTCAAGCGATTCTCCTGCATCAGCCTCCCGAGTAATTACAGGCATGCGTCACCACACGTGGCTGATTTTTTTTGTATTTTTAGTAAAGATGGGGTTTCTCCATGTTAGTCAGGCTGGTCTCGGACTCCTGACCTCAGGTAACCCACCCGCCATAGCCTCCCAAAGTGCTGGGATTACAGGCGTGAGCCACCGTGCCGGCAGCAGTTCCTAACATTTTCACAGAGCTGCTTGTGGAAAACGCCCCCTTTCCTGTGCAGTGTGAATGCCTCAAGGTGGAGCCCCTGCCCCGGAGGGCTCTCGTCTATCAGGTCAGATGTGGCACTTGGGGCTGCTGCCGTCAGGGGCGGTTTCGGAGTGGGATAAGCCTGGTGTGGCCCCTGTGGCTGCTTCCTTGGGACTCAGTAGTATCAGCCTTTTTTTTTTTTTTTTGGATGTAGAGTCTTGCTCTGTCGCCCAGGCTGGAGTGCAGTGGCGCGATCTTGGCTCACTGCAAGCTCCGCCTCTCGGGTTCATGCCATTCTCCTGCCTCAGCCTCCTGAGAGCTGGGACCACAGATGCCCACCACCACGCCCGGCTAATTTTTTTTTGTATTTTTAGTAGAGACGGGGTTTCACCGTGTTAGCCAGGATGGTCTCGATCTGCTGACCTCATGCTCTGCCCGTCTCAGCCTCCCAAAGTGCTGGGATTACAGGTGTGAGCCACCGCGCCCGGCTATCAGCTGTTTGTTTTTAGATGACTGACTGAGATGAGTCATGGGATCATAATATCTAATTGTCAACAATTGACTTTTTTTTCCTCGAAGAGGGATTTTGGCAACAAAACTTGCCAGTCGTCCTGAAGGCCGCCGTCCAGGAGGTGTGCATGAGGCTCAGGAGGCATGTGCATTTCTTGAGCGCCTTGGCGGCGGCACTGCCTCAGGAACACAGGCAGCAGGTGCTGAGGTCACACCTCCCGTTCTCTGTGAGCTGGCAGCTCATCTGAGCGTCCTGAATAACCGTCCGGGAAGCACGCAGGAGGAAGGTGCCTGCAGTGCTGGCTGCACAGGCACAAATGGCCACAACACTGGCGGCGTGGCAGGAAGAGGTGCATCAGGCAGCTCAGTGGAAGGGACGTGCTGGAGGTTTGGGCTGGACAGAAGTTGAGGACTTCATGGGAAGGAGGCAGGGGCCTTCCAGGCAGAGGAAGGGCCTTTATGCCTAGAGTGCTTTTGTTTGTTTGTTTCGAGATGGAGTTTCACTCTTTGTTGCCCAGGCTGGAGTGAAGTGGCACAATCTCAGCTCACTGCAGCCTCCGCCCGCCAGGTTTAAGCGCTTCTCCTGCCTCAGCCTCCCTAGTAGCTGGGCTTGCGGTCATGTGCCACCACGCCTGGCTAATTTTTGTAGTTTTAGTAGAGATGGGGTTTCACCATATTGGCCAGGCTGGTGTTGAACTCCTGACCTCAGGTGATCCGCCCACCTCAGCCTCCCAAAGTACTGGGGTGACAGCCCCAGCTAAGTTGTTTTCTTTTGTTTGTTTGTTTGTTTGTTTGTTTCCCTGTAGAGATGGGTTTTCGCCATGTTGCCCTGCTGGTTTCTAACTCCTGGACTCAAGTGATCCACCGGTGTCGACTCCCACAGTGCTGGGATGACAGGTGTGAGCCACCACGCCTGGCCCAAATTTCTTAAGGTTCATTTCCTTAAAGTTTCAGAAGTAGGATTTTTGAATTAAAGAAACTAAATACTATGTACGGCACTTGATACATCCTGCCAGGCAGCTACCAGACAGGGTTGTGCTGGTTTACACCACCCCAGAACGTGAGCAAGGCCTGTTTGCAGACCTTCCTTGGCCTGGCTCTCGAGGCATCCGCCCGTGTGTGCTCATGGAGCACGTGGATTTTCCCTGCGTTGCCTTCGCTTGTGGCTGGAAGAGGGTTCTCTGTGCTCCTGTGTTCTGGGTGCTCGGTTGGCCTCCTTCCTGCCACTGAGGAGGCCACAGAGGCCAGAGAGGACTCGCTGAACAGCAAAACGATTGGAACCTAAGGAGCTTCAGAA